ATTTGGCGCACTCATAGAGCCGTTTTTAGCCACACGCGTGGATTACGTGGGCATAGAGTCGAGTGTGGGCAAAGCCTTTTATCAAATTGTAGTATTTGCATCACCCACTACTGAGCTTCTGCTACACATTTGGATGCGCCTGCAGCAGCACGTGCAACAGACTCTGCTGAATCGACTATCAGATTTGGCTGGGCGCTTGCAAGTGAACACCACGAGCTTGAGTTGCCCTCGCTGGCTTTATCGCATCTGGCTGGGCATCAGTCTGCTGTATTCATGGAATTTCCTGATTTATACGATCGACACTTGGACTGCGAGCAGCCAGCTGAGGCAGTTGCCCAGCCTGATCTGCCTGTGCATGCACCTCGTGCTCATCAACTATGTCATCACGTGCTACACAGCCCTAGTTTATGTCGTGATGAGCCTGCTGCAGGCACAGGCCGATCAGTTGCGTTTGGGAGTTCTAATTACGTTGGAGGAGTTGACCAACAGCTTGTGCATTCACGATGAGCTACTGCTGCTCTGCCACGAGGAGATGCTGCAAGTCTTTGGCGGTGCTTTGATATTTCCCTTTCTCTACTTTGTGCTGGATGCCACATTCATATGCTATATAGCCACGTTCGAGGATCGCTTCTCATTTAAGGAAGTGCTGATGGTGCTTTGTTGGTTAACACCCCTTTTCTTCTATATGGGCATGCCCTTGATGATCAACGACGTGGTCAAGCAGGTGAGTTAGATCGTTTATAAAAAAGGCAGTAAATACTAGAAAAGAAACAGAACATCCCTCCCATCTCGATTTTTAGCAAGATTTTACGTAATGAAGTTTCTGCTTGTTAATAAATAAGATAACATTAATCATTTTTTTATGTTGGGCGATATTTTGATTAGTTGTGGGAAATTCAAAAGAAAATGTCAATATTTGCATATGTGTAGATAAATTAATCCAAGCTGAATTTCAATTTATTTAGTTATTTTTTAACAAAATACAATTAAAATTTGAACGGAGCGAAATATATGGGCATACCCAAGGGGGAAATTCAAAGAATTAAGTAAAATTTTATTATTGTGGATACAAATGTAAGGAAACCAAAATTAAACAGAAAATTTTAATGAAAGTGGAATTCAAATGAAAGGAATCATTGAAACGAATAGAAATCGTACCCCAAATTACTGAGTGACAATGAAAATATTTTCGATATAAATATTTCACTTTAGTTCAATTAATGTTTTCTATATTTGGTTCACTGCTGAACCATAAAAGCTGTTAGCAAACTCCCGCAAAGCAAACCGGAACAGTAAGAAAACACAATTAGGTTAATGGTTGCCGAGAAATGACATAAATACACCTTGAAATTATAAATTTTCAATCAGTTTCTGTTGAGTATTTGTTGAGCTTAAGCCATGATAAAGTATGCGCAAAGCGAGCTATATCCGTACTATCGTATTTGCCGATATATAGGCATCTTCTGCATACAATATGTCAGCAGTAAGGATCGCTTTCGGTTGCGGCGCAGTCTCATCTGTTATGTGGTGCACTTGGCCATGCAAATCTATTTGGTCGGCTGTATGGTATTATTGGTCACCTTTTGGACCTTCTGCTTCAAGAGCGAAATGACCGCAACGGGCAATCATTACGAGCGCTTTGTGCTCTTCTCGGCCCTGCTTATACAGTTCCTGCAGAATGCCTGGCTTATATGGCTGCAGGATCTACAGATGCGAATTGTGCGACAACTTGAGTTTTATAAGAGAAAATATTTGTTGACTGTGCACCTGCTGATGCCTAAACGGCTGTTAATTTTCCTTGTGATATTCAATATCATCTACTTTGGCAACTTTTTGAAATTTTGTGTGACAGATTGGTTTGTCAATATATCGGGCTGGTTCACCTTTAGCACGCTGGGCTTTCCCTTGCGTGCCCTCATCAGCAGCTTCATACAGGGCATCTATGTGTGCCTCATACATGTCGTACGACATTTGCTGCGCTGCAATCAGGCCCAGCTGAAGGCTCTGGTCCATCAGTTGCAGCGGTCCAAGCGAAACTGCAGTGATATCCTGCGCCTGCGCGCCTGCCTCGATCTGCACGATCGTCTGCTCTACTTGTGCACCGATGAGATCAGCCTGGTCTATGGCTTCAGCATTTGGCTCTGTTTGCTGTTTTCCTCACTGGACGCGACTAGTATACTTTATATCATAATGGTTAGCAAGTCGGACAAAACTGTGTTGAAGCGTATTATTTTGACCGCTATATGGCTCTCACCCACATTTATGACCTCAGCGACGGCTTTGATGAGCGACACAGTCCATGTACAGGTATGTGCAGTGAAAATTGAAGAAATAATTTCCACAAAATATATTTGTTGTAATGATCACTTTGTGAGTATTTTCCACTGTGACATTTTCATATTGCAATAAGTGCATGAATAAAAAAGTATATCTAGCAAATAAATCCTATTTGAATCTGCAAGCTACTCCTAATTTTAAGTTTCTCTTTGTAAGGTCGTCTAATTTCGGCATCATTATATTGCATTAAGTGCTGGATTGCCTATTTAGGCATACTAACTCTCTTTTTACCAACATTATAATTTTTACTAAAGTTAATTTTTTATTATATTTTTGAATATATTAAAGCTTGGTTTCTAACTTCCGAACAAGCCGATTGGAATAATACAAGTTATTTGTAATGGGAAATTCCACCTTGTATGTATTTTCCAATTCGACTTTTCCATAGCCCATTTATAAATACCAACTAGCTTCTTGTCAGACAATTGGGGAAATAATATTTTTTACATATTATATTGTCCTATATGTCTACACAAAAGATTCTGCATATTTATTATACACGAAATGGCGGTTTACATATATATTATATTGTTAACTCTGCTGATTCTAATTTTTGAAAGTTGTGAGCGACGACTTGAGCATTGTTATCATCAGAATATTAGATCAGGTGCGGATAATACTAATCGATATGCCTGGTAATTGCAATGAACTTTAAAAATGATCCCTTATAAAGCTTATTGCTAGTATCGACTGACTTTTATAAATTAAATTGAATTGATTTGGCGAACACATGGATGGCGCTTTGGGGTGTCCTGTGGTAGGCTTAAAGCCCTCAGTCTCTTGGGTGCAGTCAATTGTAACGTCAGATAGTCATGAAATGTAAACATCAATTGATTTGATTGGTAGCTCGTGTTAAATTTGATTGTTATATAGTACGACCACAACCCCTATATCCAACTAATTATTGATTGATTGATTGATTTGTACGCTTTGGGCATGTGTGCTTTCTGATGTCAGTTGCACATTTTCAGTCATGTTTTCCGGAACGGAGTTGCGCATCTATTTGATCAGTCTGAAGTGTATCGGTTTACTTTGTATAACACACGATGCTCGGACACATCAGACCTATGAGAGCCAAATGGACCAGACCTTGGCCGTGATCGGTTTTTCGGTGGCCCAAATTGCCACGTGGATGGCATTTGCGCATGTTTTGCTAACACCGGATAGCTTTATGCTGCCCCTATATACACGCGTGGGTAATGCGTATTTGTTGATCAATTACGGCATTGCCTGCATAGTTATGGCAATCGTCTATCTCGTCTTCTTTGTGAAACGTCGCCGTTTATTGGAGCTCCTCTCACTGCTGCTCTATCGCAATCGCAAGGATCTGAACAATTGCTATGCTAAACGTTTTCTAGGACGCTTTTGCATCTATGCGGCTCTGTCGGGTGTGTGTGCCGTTACGTACACCAGTGCGTTTGTGTTCTCTGAAATTCCCGTAGTTCCGTGTATACTATTGAGCTTCATCTATACCTATAGCTACGTGCTGATAGGGCTTATCATAATACTCTATAGCTGCCTGGCGCAAGTCTTGGCTGCCCTTTTGCACCTTTATAATCGCGACTTGCTGGCCGCCACAAAAACAACTAAGATCGGGCGCTGCGGCTTATGGAAACGTAATCAGATGCTCATCGTTTGCCACGAACAGCTGAACTCTGGCTTTGGACTTGTCATGGCGCTAATTACGGCGTTTACGCTCTTCTCGGCACCGGCTGCTCCCTTCGTAATGGTTACCACTGTCTTTGAACTGTATATAAATCAGGTTGGATTAAATATCGTAATTCGCTTATTGCTCATATGCATCATGTGGAATATACCCTGGCTAGTCGCCATGGGAATCATATTCCAAAAAGATGTCGTCTGGCAAGAGGTGTGTACCAATTGTTTTAATTTATAAGTTTTTACTTTTGACTAAGAATCTGGAAAAATACAACTAGGAATTATTTTTGCAAACCCTGAACACACTGAAAAACGGGTGATAAGGAGAAGCACATAGAGAAGGTACATATATATATATATATATATTTCCGATTAGGACGACAAGTTGACCTGAATTAAAATGACCATATCCGTCTATAAAAAGGCAACGATCTCAAATGTTACGAATGGGGAGACTTGAAATTACAAACATATATTTTCCCGTATGTAAATAATGTAAAATGTAAAAAATTGATTTCGATGATTTGATGCTTTTCTCCATTCCTACATAAATGGGAAAAGCTTTTTGTTAAGATTGATCCTTGTGCGTATACACACTCCGATAATTTCAGAAAGATCCGACAATAAACACCGAAGCTATTAATGTATGTATTTGGCACAGTGTAGTCAGTGTGTAGGCAGCCCGATGCTGAGTTCAGGGCCTTCTAGTCGGGCACTCCCCATTTGAGCAGTCTTATTTTTAAGCAATCACATTTTGAAAGCGTTTGCTAGTTTAATTTATATTTTGGCTTAAAAATGTAGTATATTTTGTAAGCCTACGCCCGTTCGTGCCCAAGTTTTTTGTCGGCCTTGCCAACAAGTTTAAACTGATGCAACTTGTGGGCATAGCTAATTACAGCCCTGGGTGATCAATCAATAAGTACGTAATATCCAAATCAAATATATTCTGTTAAAGCACTTAGTTAATTGTGCCGCTGCGTTCGGGCTGGTTAGTCAACGCCAGCATGTCTGGCAATCGCGACCTGCGTCTATTTCGGCGTGTCCTATATTGGCTGGGCATGATGTGTGCCCAATTCGATGATAGAGATTGTCTGCTACAGTCAACACCCAGCAGTAAGCGCTATGCGCTTTTTTATATGCTGGCCATACTGGCCGCAGCACTGGGTTGCTTTGCGTTTGCCTATCTGAGGCCGCAAGATCTGTACATGGGAGTATACAACGAGACGGGCAACTTCTATGAGACAATCAATATACGCGGTTTTTGTGTAGGACTCTGGATAGTTCATATATGCCTCTACATAAGACGTCGACGTCATATAGAGTTGGTCCAGAAACTACTCCAGCTGAATCGGTTGTGCTCAAATAAAGCTAACGAACGTATCTTTCGACGCAACTTTATATGCTATGTGGTTCTGGCACTGATCTGTCTGATGAATTACTTAAATGGCTATGCGAGGGCAGGATTGTCCAAAATTGCTGCGTTTGTCTATATATTTGTCTATCTGTATAGCTTTCTGGTGATGTGCCTGGTGCTAGCGTTTTTTGTGTGCTTGCAACATATTGTGGCAGCCGGCCTAGCAAAATATAACATCCAGTTGGCGGAAAGTAACTCCGTCACAAATCGTAGACATTTGCTCTACCAAAGGTATCGCCTACTGGACACGGTTGCTGTTGAGCTATTTGCATGCTTTGGACTCTTTATGCTGCCGATTGTACCACTCGTGTTGTTCTTGGCACCCTCTGGGCCTCTATTTTTGATTAGCACCGTGATGGATGGCAAGCTTGCGGGCTTTTTTCAATATGCCATCTTTATCTTCACCGCCAGCCTGTGGAATGTTCCCTGGCTGGCTATGATGACATTCATATTGCGCTCCAATGTCATCACAGTTGAAGTGAGTAACTCGATTCGAAAATTATCTTCATATAATTTCCTACCTAATATCGCTGGTTTAGCTGTATAAATTAATTCATAAAACTCAATATATATGCGCCTTTCTATGCGATTTTCATTATTTGATGTATGTCTCAAATTGTTATATTATTATTGATGCGCTAAATATGTGAATACGTTATATTTCAAATGGTTTATTGCATATTACGCCTTTCTATGTGATTCTCATAATTTGAATTAAGTAAGAGTTTGGTATTTTATTATTGGCTCATTTACTAAGTGTAATATCCAAACATTTTGATTGGTTTATCGTATATTCTTTTCGCAGGCCAACAAAACAGCCAAAATACTTTCAAAAATACCTAGGACTGGCTCCGGTCTGGACAGAATGGTATGTGTTTATTACACTCGTTTTTTTATTTTTATTATATACTAAGTTATACGACACCTTTCGCATAGGTCGAAAAGTTTTTGCTTAAAAACCTGCGTCAACAGCCCATACTGACAGCCTATGGTTTTTTCGCACTAGATAAGAGTACACTATTCAAGGTATGAATAGAAATTAAATTCCATTTCATTATATATGTATATTTATGTATGAATTCTGTATTCCACAGCTCTTTACAGCCATATTCACATATATGGTGATATTGGTACAATTCAAGGAAATGGAGAACTCTACTAAATCATTGCAGGAATCATAATTTAACTTTTCCGGCTTATCATTTGTCTTATTGTTATAATCGTATAATCTAAAGAATGGAGGAGGGTTTTCGACTTACCGAATCATAAGTCAAGCAGCCGGTTGCTTTTGATTTATAATTTTTGCGCCATTTTCTGTATTCGGCTTTGATGACAGCTGCATGACGTTTCCAGTATTTTCCTTCAAGCACAACGGTCTGTGGGAAAGAGAATAAATATACGTAAATATAGTATAAAAATATAATCAGTTGTTCTTTATTATTTACTAACGTAATCACAGCCCAAAATCTAGAGACTATACCTTGCACATTTTTCCTAGGCTCCCACTCGCGTCAAGCTCTTTAGACAACTGATTCAAGAATCCCGAACAAAGCAAAGTCAATAACTAAGCGTTGCGTTAATCAAAATTTATGAAATTTTTAAAACCCACTAAATAAATTCAAGTATACGGGCCTCTCTTGCCATTTAGCCAACTTTGCCAAATGAAAACAAATTGTTAGCTCGATAAGATAAATCTTTTATACGCGCCCGAGTAACGTTTCGACCCAGACGAACAGCTAAGATAAGAGACTGTGAGACAGCTTTGGGTGTACTACGATGTGGATTAAGCACTGGCGGTAGTTGACTGATGTGCCAGACACTGGCTATAATATGCGTGTGGCTTTTGAGGCTCTGCCCCCAACACTCTACTGTTGGTTGGCCAGCGGGTGGGAGAGTGGTGCATCTTACCAGTTTGTTGTTATAAGCTAATTAGCAGTTATTGTAAAAGGTGTGGGCGGTATTCGTAGTCGTATTTGTGCATTGTGTACACGCTATTTGCTCGACAATGCTTTAAATAAGCTGAAAATGTGCTAATCTATATAGAATCAAAGATAAAAAGAGTCGTTTTAAAGTCAAGTCACGCGAGCAGAAGCTAAGGAAATTAGAATTGAAAATTGCTGCTGAGTTTGAACCGGCGACCTTTTGCTTGTTAGTTCAACTCTCCCACGGCTTGGGCTGTGCGTCAAGACAAGCTGTTCTATTTGATAATATAAATCAAAGATAGAAACATAATAATTTAAATATATGCATATATATATGCACATATATATAAATATACATATAAATATAATATCGCATACCGATTCTCTTTACTTTCGTAGTTTTTATCTAATTTTTTTAAATCTTAACAAGTTGTTATTACTGTTTTACAGATTGTTAATATTGTCGCGTTAGTTATTTATTGACAAGAAACATTCTAACGTCAATATTAAATGAGTCTGTATTATCACGTGTAATCAGGGGACATACTTAATTGTTGTCAATTTAAGTTATATCAGTATCGAGCTATGCCTAAACTCCTTCTGCTTCTAGTTATCTGGTTGCTTATAACATTTACAGTATGTCAATTAATACTAGATAGCTATATTAACTGTTTTACTTGCGTCAGAAGTATGCTAACATTAAACGATGCCATATTATATTTGTAAAAAAATGCAATAAAGAACACATTTAGTATGTTACTAGGTTTTCAGGTTCCCAAGTGATGTGAAATTAAAATATTTAAAAAATCAAATATATATTTACAGCTTACTATTTAAGTCCTACAATAAAGCTTTTGCACTCTATGTAAAATGTTTAGAAATTTTCTGTAAAACGTACTACATAATTATGCATATAGAATCGCGAATCCGATTTCGATTATAACATTAATCTCGTTCTATAAATAAAATGCGATGATAGCCAAAAATATAAACGCGCGTTCTTATCACGTGCTGCAATTCGGAGTAGAGCAAAGGGGAACCCATATATCTGGGGGCTATGAGTACTATCTCCCGGTGAGTTAACGACGCGCGACGCTCTGATCACGAGTATAGCAGATGATGTTGGGCAAATCGACCAATATTTTGAGCATTTGTGTACTGCTCCATGTGGGGGTTGTTCGAGTACATTGCGATAGCATTCATTGAGGAGGGTTCATCACAACCATGGGCAGGTTAATACGTCAGCTGTGCGGTTCAGTTCTTGCTAAGCTCTAATAAACAATTGAAACCCAGTTGAGTGAAAATTAAAGTCAAATGCATTACAAGTTAGGCTATGAACTCATGATATTTAACTTTAGCTCAACTTTTTGTACTGTTTTGTATTGCAACTATGATAATTAGGTCAAATAGGAACACTTAATAAATGATTTTGGAAGAATCCTTATGACATCTCTAAGGAAACCTCATAGGAAATAATATGCCTACTTTGTTTCATTTGGGTTTAATTTTTAAATTTCCAACTTTCGTGTAAATTTCACAAGTTATCGATAGAATTCTTAGTCCTCCATCTATGCAAGTATAAACGGTAGGGGGATCATTTAAATATATAATTTTAACAGGATCTCCACAACTTCTTAATACCAACCTTTTTTTACTACTAGCCAATTGATCACAGATTTTAATACACTGTTTGTATTTATGTACATATATATATATATACATATATATATATATATATCATTATCTTACCGCGCACATTTTAGACACTTAACTATTACGTTTCACCTGTTACTACTTACTTGGGGATTACTATGTATGTCAACGTCCAGCGGCGATGCGAATTGACACACCGGCGTTCTGCGCTTTTGTATAACTGCAAAAAGGGAGAAAATAAAAAACACATATGGGTTAGTTTGTGTACTATGTACGAAGAGAGCTCGTCAAAAGGTATAGATAAGATTTTGACTCGAGATTAGCAACATTGCCAGATAGCTCCGGAGGGATGCCAAGCTGCCTCCAAAGCAGCGTTGACAATGACAACGACCCACACGTGTATAAATCGCGGGAGAATGACGTTTTATTATTTTTTTTATAATTTTTTATTATATACAACAAAGTCAAGAGACTGATATTCACAATTATCTACAAAGCATATACACTTTGCAGTACATCTAAACAATGCCCATGTATTGAGGCATGGTGAAATGTAAATGAGTTTCACAATGAAATTATTGTAGTCCGTGGTTGGTATAAATATACCATATTTCATTTCGATTTCCTAATATATAGATTAAGTATGTATGATTTTAAATTTATATACAATGCTTTGGATTTAAACAAACTCTTGAATATATACGATTTGTTTATTTGCAAAATATGGATTGGTTATATAGAATTTGTGTTATGGATGCGTTAAGCATTTCGTTTCTTTCAGTAATAAAAATCTTACGAAGTGTCTTTATTATTAATCATTATTGCTAAAAATTGATATTAGTTATAGCACGTTATATTAAAATTAAAATTGATGCTACTTTTCTTTAATATATTTGCTAAAGATGTGTGTTTATATAGAAAATAATTTAAAGTAGACAATAATTTAATCGATTAGTCTAACCCAAGATAAGATACAAGAAAAAACGAAAAACTAACATAAATAGATGAGTATTATTAATTTTTTGGTGAAATTGTCAGATGGCTATACTCTACAGCCCAATGATCGAGGCAATACGCATTTGGGTTAGTTATGCAGTTAATCTACTTAGTATGCTTAACCTCATGAATAAACATTTAGCATATATGTATGTAGAGTAGAGTATTAAGTGCTAAATGCGAGACAAGAAGTATGATGTGCATATGTAGGTAGGTGGGTTTACAAGTACAACACTTTATAAATAGACCTAAAATTTTCCATTTGCCTTTGTCGCAGTTGCCGTTGTCGTCGGTTTGTCGTCAATTTCTAGAGATAATCGTCCGTTGACGAGTTTGTAACATCTTAGCAACCATCTCGCTCTCGCATTTGTGACGTAACAGAATGGAAAGTTTATGAAAATATTTCCAACAGAGAAACCCCTAGACAACACAAATCGGATTTTCTATGTTTTATGTTTTTATAGTTGGATTTCCAGGGGTTTTGCATTATATAGAACTTTGGCAAGAAACAAAATAAATATTTTGGCGTTGCCACCTTTTCGTATTTAATCTGACATTTTTCAAATAATGTGGCAGCTTTATATATATAAATTTTAGGCTTTTCGCTGGCTTTATATGTTCTAGTTGATGCAAACGAAATCTATTTAGACGTATTTAACAAGGCGAGCGAACGATCAACACGCCAGACAGGCATCTCTGATAAGCCCAGCCGACGACTGATAAGAAGCCTAAGAAGAGCGCGTCGTGTTGCCAGACGCTTGACAACGGTCAGTGCAGAGTATAGACGCGTCTGCTATGGCAACTACAACTACAACTGCGATTTTGAGAGACTGCCAAATAAACAAAAAAAATAAATAAATAAACAAAAAGTTATAATAATAATTAGAAACCAGTTGAAAAACTACAAGCGAATGCGACTCATCTCCGGCAGAGCGTAATCAAGAGCGTTTGTGTTTGCGCTTTGAAAGCTTTTTTCCAGCTTTTAGCTTTTTTTTTCGCTCTCTCTCAGCTCCCAAATTGTGTATTGCTATTAGCTTAGCACGTGTAGCATTTCGCGCCCAAGGAAATGTTCATTAAACATTTTTGTTTTCTTTTTCATTTTGTAAATGATTTGTAATTTATTTACGCCCCTGACACGTGCCGGGCGGCTTCAATGCCGACACGGGTGGAAAATTTTAATTTAGATTTGGTTTAGCTCTGTTTAAAAATTGGAGCAATTTGGGTAAAGAATTTAATGATTTGCAATATTATAATCACAATATTTTTCAATTCATGCAAAACTTAATTCTCGTCTCACTTCTGTCAAATAAGAGAAAGAGCTGCTGTTTCCGGTCTGCTCCAGATTTTCGACCCTTGAGTTGTAGTTATCTAGCCCTAATCAAAAACTATGTGAACCGTTTTTTTTTTTTGACATAATATTGTCATAAATATTGTCGTCATGAACTATGTAACTATAAAGGTTTTTTCAATGCCCACAACTACATTTTTTACAGACTTGTTTGTTTGATGAATGAATCGGAATTTAACCAAATATTTTCTTCACTATGAAAATCATACAGATTTTCTTATAAGAGTTTAGCCTAACTATCAATTGTTTTTTCAATGGTAGCTTTAGGAAGTTGATCTACGGACCAGCAAAGATATGCACAATATTTTAAAATTTGTAATTGGGGAGTTTGAAACGCATTGATGTATAATCGCAACAATCGACAGTCAACGTTTTTAAGGTAGATTCCACAGTAATATTTAAGATATACTGTCCGGTTTGTAAACGGGAGCTAATCAAATACATTTCTTGAGCCCCATTGGGTCTCCTTGACCTAGATTTATATTTTGAAGATTTGAATAGTATAACAGAGTAAGAATATACATATATTCTATTTTTCAACTTGTAAATTATCTATAAATATTTTTCGAATTAGTCAAAAATAGAATAACTTTGACATTCAAAGCCAATTTACAAATTCGATTGGATGGTTCCAAATATTAATAAATGCTCTAAAGCTACAGTGAGAAGTATTCGTCTAATGGGGGTGACCAGATTTATTAATTGTGCATGTACACAAAAATGGTTTAAGAGAAAATCTCCAGCCCAGTTAGAATTTGGCCTAACAGAAGTGTCCGTTAGCAGAGTGTTCACTGTTATTTTCTTTTTAAGTTGTTACTTTAAACATATTTATTTTTAAGTTCTATGATTTCTACTCACATTGCATATGCCAACATCGCCAGATGACATTGTTAAGACGTATTTTGTCCTTCCAGCGCAATCGCACGCCTTTAAAGTGATTCCATTTGGGCGATGTGAGCTTTTGACTAAAAGAAAAAGAATTATTGAATATATAAACTAGTGTATATGCTTAATATGTGTAGTTTACAATAATAGAATGCATAATTTGTTTATAAATAATATAAGGTATAGAAATGGACAGATTGTGGGCTATAAATAGTTTGCCCCATAACCCGCCTGGGCGACAATCTCAAAATAAAATCTGAGTAATTTTTTTTATTTTTCCCTTTTTTCTCTCTTCCTCCTCCATATTTTGTGCGCAGCTGAAAATGAAAATGCCAACTATCGATTAGTTTCGATTAGAGGTAAAACAGTTGTAAATCTGAGCGGGTATCAAAACTAATATCGAAGTATTGACAGGGAAAAGGCCTTTGGGGGCTGGAGCGAGGTTTTCAAAAACAATTACTCTCATTAATCAATATACGTACTATATCAATTTCAATATCTATATCTATATCAATATCAATATCAATGCATATAGTACATAATAAACAATGCTTAACTAATCAATACGCGGACGACACACGATCTGTTGTTATCGTTGACTCACACTTACAAATAGTTATATAGCAAAAACAAATTGCATAACAAGCTACTCGAATCGCTGGCATCAACAGTTGGCTGCATTCATGGAACCACTCGGAATACCAAGCGCCACCAACGCACCGCCGCATTCCTGAACAGCTACTAACTTAGTTGACGCTGTGTTTAATTTCCTGTTGTAGTACTACAATTTGGCACTAATCCAGTTTAGTTTCCTTTTCTAAATGAATTGCTTTCGCAGCGGAATACGCCAATAATAAATGGAAGGCAGACGTCATCATTGACTTAACCATATATATATAAGCTTTTGTTCTATTATGTATTTAGAATTGAAGCTGGGCTAAGCCATACAGAAGTCATTTGCATAACTAAGAAAAATGTTATTGAAAGCATATCAAAATTAATATACATAGAAACAATTTTATACATAGAAACAATTGGTAAATAAAAACAAAATAAACTTTGGTCTGCCGAACAATAAATACCCTTTCAAGCATACATACAATTTGCGTTTTATTTCTACACTTGGCCAAACAACCAAGCTAAATGATAAACCGTTCAGGTTGTCAGGAAATATCTTAATGGTCTCTAAGCTAGCTCCTTTGTTACGTGACATTATTCAAATACCGATTTGTATACCCCCAAACATCCAGTCGTGTGTACAACTCCCACATGCAACAACTGTCCAGTTAATCCACGTGCGTTTGCACCCAAGGCGCATATTATCTAAAAAACAACCCCACGGCGAGGTGGGCACAAAACTGAATGGGAATCCTGCAAAAAATGCCTCTGGCTGATAAGAGAACGCAAACATAAATAAAGCCCAAGGCCTATCTAACTATCAAACTGATAAGCCGTGGTCATAAAATACAAGTATGCTAAACCCCACACCGACAAGCTGACTATAAAATAAACCGCGCGGCACAATGTTAAAAATAGATCGGCACGAAAAAAAGCACAAAATACGCAACATACGATCTTCGATGACTTTAAAACTGAATGAACTGAATGAACTCAAAACTTTGAACTCTCGCACTATGGTATGGCGGGGGAAGGACGAGAGGCAGGCCAAAAAAAAAAAAAAAACTTTTATACGTGCTCAATATCAATTAGAGATGCGCTATAAAGTCCACATATATGCACACATATATTATTACGTACGTACAAACATAAGAACCGGGCATGTGCGATAAGTATACTCTCACGTAGGGCTTAACCATTTTATCGTTCATTATGATCATAAAAATAATATAAAATGGAAAATATTTTGTAAGCAAATTGGCATTACACATGTTGATGGTGACTGCTGGACTGTCTTAGCCTCCCTCTGGGTAGAAAATAAGTGAAAAACTGTAATAGATGATTTCTACTTAGAAGCTTTTTTACACAATAAGCATTCGACTTCTTAAAGATTGTTAAAACAATTATTAAACGACACCTTAAATGGATTTTACAGTTTTCCACGACAAGAATAATATTAAATGTTCAACTAATTAAGGAATATGCACCAACAAGGTAACATTTTTTAAGTACCGTGTAAAGCCGGGTAACATCAGCGAGCCTTCTGCTCGCAACCAAAAGTAAATACGCCATTATAAACAAACTAGCTGACTTTGTCAAAAGTTGTAGCAAAAAATAAAAATAATAATAACAAAACAAATGAAAACAAAGCGTAAATCTCGGGCTACGTGCCTTACAGGAACCCAAGCGAATATTATATATGGACTATATGATCTAACTTATTCGCATTTACTTTTTCATTCAATTTCGATGTGTCCGTAGTTCTGTGAGCATTTTTATAGGTATTAAAAGTGTAATTTGGGTAAACATTTTGTACAACACACATTTTCAAAGAGCAACAACATTCTCTTCATAGTTCACCTGGGTTTACGGAAATTGGCAAACAAACTTTATCTAGGCTTATATGTAAGTCGCATTACTTCAAATAAACCTGTTGAAACTGATTAAGAATATCTTCTAAGATAGTAGATGTCTACAGTTGTCGATCGTAATAGAATAAATGTTTCATTTCAATGTATTTCCTTACTTTTTCAAAGGTTGGAAAAAACTTTACCAACAATAATTATATAAAGAGTGGAACTTAATAATGAAATGGCAGTCACAAGCCTTTAAATAATCGACAATTGCCAAATTTTAATAATAAATAATGAAAAGATAAATGAAAATTTCAGCTGAGTTTGAACCAGCGACCTCTAAATTGTTAGACCAACGCTATTGCTATTTTCTAATATACATATACCATACCATACATATATATAATACAATTTAGACCCATTTTTTAGTCAGGCGAGCCATTTTTTTTTTTAACATATACTCTCATTAAACAAATAAATAAATTTTGGAAAAACTTGTTTTTCTTCGAGCGGACAACTCTTTAAGCACGACTGAAACCTTTGTTTATTGGTTAAAGCCCTTAAAAATATTAATTAATAAGGTAATTGTTCGCTATTGCCGTCCCCATTGACATGGTTATTATATTTATAGAGTATGTAAAAGTCGTTGATTATGTTTTCAGAAATGCGTTTCAGTTTTCCTGCATTGATATTTCATATTTATGATTTCTGATTTTCTCATTTTTTTTGTTTTTTTCTTTTTGTTCGCCTGCATTTGCGAACGTTTGCAGAAATAGAAGACGGAGCAGAAAACAAAGACAGCGATTAAAGCGAAGTTGCGCCCAGGTAACCCGAGCGGCGACGTCGCCGCCAGCGTCGCAGCGACATGTGCGGACACGTCTTTTCGGCCAGACCCAGTTTAATGGGCGAATGTTATCACGCGCGTGACGCGTGGTTTGAACCGTTTGGACTCACCTGTAGGCCAGGTTCATGCACTTGAAGAGCTTGGTCAGCGACGTCTCGATCTCCAGGTGGGAGGTGATCATGCCCATGCTGTTCTCATCGCACTCGCGGTCCAGATCCATGCGCGGAAAATGCGCCACGGTCTGTGGCACATAGAGCTGCACGTCGCGGCAGGTGTTGGTCGCCTCGCCGGCTTTATCGAGGCTCGGATCCTCCGGGTCCAACATCTTGACCTCGCCATCATCCTCGAGATCATCCTGCGCCTCCTCGGCCTCAAAGTGTGAGACCATAAACTGACCCGAGTGTATTGACTCGCGTTCGGCTTTGCTTGCGGCCAACATTGCGGCGGCAGCGGCCAGCTCTGCTGCAGTGCTGCCCGCAGCGCTGCCAATGTACTGCAGCGGGGAGAGTGAATGGGGCAGCGAGTGCAGCTGCGGCTGGGCGTGGGGGTGCGAGTGGGTGAGCTGATGCTGTAGATGCTGTATATGCTGCGGCGGTAGGATCTGCTGATGATGTTGTTGTTGCTGCTGTTGTTGTTGTTGTTGTTGCTGTTGTTGGTGGGGAAACATGTTGTTTGTGCGTTGATAGATTTCGTATTTGTTCAACATCATTTTTTTTATTGTTGCTTTTACTTGTTTGTTTTTTATTTACTTTGTAGTGTGAGCAGGTGCAAATATTTTGGTTTGAGCTTCGGATATTTAGTTCGTGTTTATGCTTGTCATTATGCGTTTGCAACAAATTTTGAGCTCTGCAAAATGTTAATTAATTAGTTTGGCACGTTTCAGGCATTTTTTACAATTAATATCTATTAATATTTGTATATTTATTATTGTTAACGCATTTGCATATTTCTTAATTCTATAAAAGCTTAACAATTTAATTATTTAACTTTGAAAATCTTTAATTAACACTTTGGTTTATTTATGACAACTTTTTTGCTCCTCTTTTGTATTTCTGTTGTTTTGTCAATTTGCACTTTTATTTATACTGTTGTACTGTTTGCATTTTCTACTATTTTGTTGATATTTTTAGTAATTAACAAATTTTCTTAATTGTAGCAACATTTATTACGTTTTCTTTTTATTTTTCAACACTTCTTGTTTAGCGCCTATGCACTTGTTGCGTTTGTTATTGTTGTTTGCTTTTACAGCTCGTTCTGCTTTTCTAATGGCGAACACGCCCCGCTTTTAACGCGTCACAATTCACACAGAAACGCCTGCACACACACTTGCAAACTAACAGACACACATACACACGCAACTATTAGAAATGCGACGTCAGTTAATTGGCGCTGATAATGAAAAGCTTTTGTGAATTTGTTGCTCGTTTGCTTCTTATGGCACGCGGCGGCACAGACGTTGATGACTTTTCAATTTCACAAACGGTACTGATCGGCGGCTCGCAGAAACTCAAGAACTCAGGCTGAACGAACGAAACCTGTGCGATTGCGTTTATTATTGCCCAGCACACACAATCAAAACATAAAACAGCTGACGCCAGCAGCTTGCGCTCTCTCTATTACTCTTCTGCTCTCGCTCTTTCTAGCGGATAACTTACTATTGCTCTCTCGCACACACGCGCCTTATCAACATAGGAATCTGGCGCTAAATGTGAGTGGCTGGGCGTGCAAGAAGAAGCAACAACATTCGGCTGCGACGATGGCGTAGGCTGCGCCTGCACATATTTACTTACACATACTCGTATCGATATACGTACGCTGTGCATAACAAAAACAATTGCCACCGAGTCCCGTTTTATGTTGCGCCCAATTGGCTACAACCAATAAGCAAATTTAAAGCGCAGTCTTTCGTTTACGTCACAACTTGCATTTGCTGACCACTGGGTTTGCCCTTTTTTCTTGCCTGCGTGCACTTTTGACCTCTGCTTTTATCCATTTGTAGTTACATCGTGCACACACACACACACATGAGCTACGCGTTGGGGGCGCGTCTCCAATTGCCAAGCAGGCGTTCAGTTTATGTATAGCGAATATACGACTTTAACGCGCAAGCGTGTGTTTTCACGTAATATTAATTGTAATTTAGGCACTCATATTAATTAATTTGCTTTTGCGACTACACAACACTAAAATTGACTAAAAAATACCAAACTGCGTTAGCGTCAGATGTACGCTAGCAGCAAGACAAAACCTGACAGGCACATCGAAATTTACTTAACGAAAGTAATCTGCGGGAGCGTTAACAGTATGTTAACAAGCAACAGTGCTTGTAAAACCAGCACAATTTAATTTTATTCAATTTCGGTTAGTTTTCAGAAACAATTCCTTGAAACAACATATGCAAGCCCAAAAAGATACAACAAAGACTTGTTGGACTTCTTCAGCTTCTGTTATTCGGGATACCGATATAAAATATGTTATTTGATATGTTTTTAGTTCAAAAATACTCGGAACTCTTCGTTGCTTACTGTTATTCACTAACATTCGTTCATTGGAACCATAGAGTTCAAGTAGTTCCGGAACACGGAACACCAGTTCAGTATCTTTCCAAATGAAACGCAAAAAGGTCCAAATATTTTCGCTCGTGTATTTTGCATTTATATGGAAATAAAAATGGCTTTATAGTTTGCGCGCAAACAAAACACAAGCACGAGCAGTGCCCCAACACACAAAGTTATGAGAATGTTAACAAAAAAATTGTAAGTACCCATATTGAACAAGTGCTAACAATGCAAGAGTGCAACAATTTCGCAGTGGCGCACACACACATACACACTCACAGCCGCACACTGACTTGTATATAAACAGTTATGGTTGCGAGTGTGTTTGTTGCTTGTTTTGTCGATTCATGGTAACGTGGCAGAAATGTTTACCACTTGCTTGTGGCATGCAACAGCCAGGTACTCCAGACAGCGAAATCATTGAAATTGGCTGATGCAATCGGCTGGTCAGTTGCGTAAACTTATGCGGCAATTGCTTCTTCACCTTGCCACATGCTACAGCACGTGCAGCGGCTCGTGAATCATCTTATTTATCTATCTCACTCACTCGGGCTACAGCTGCGCTACTCTTGCGCCCTGTGCACAAGTATGCGATTTTGACGTCGACTGCGCTGCCCGTGCACATAGCAAGCAGCTATTTGTTGATAAGAGAAATGTTTTTATATGGCAATGCGAACTAGAGCTAGGCTCGTATCGTGTTTCCCATCATTAACGCGTGACTCAACACGACGTGTTCGTGTTAAATTTCGTGCCTTAAATACAATTTGATACAACAAATAAGGAATCGCTTAAAATTCAATTGGAAAAGAGTTCTAAGATTAAAATTGGAACACTAATGGAATTTTTAGAAAAATTTAAAATTACCATGGCACACGGCAAATCATCAGAGTTTGTTCATTTAATCCCAACAAATTAAAGCTGATCGTGCCAGGCACTCTCCCATCTCTAGTTTGCACCCTTTGGCTCAACTTCAAGACTTATGCAAATTGTAGTAGAAACAAAACAAAATATGAAAAAGTTTAGCACTTGACATGGGGTTGAACATGATCCTAAGGGCTTATCAGCTGTTGACGTCGTCTGAACAGGCAATTCGTTTTGTTTATGTCTAGCTGCAGTTTCGAATGAGTTGTACAATTTGTTTATCAATTCAAGTGCGCCATACAGTGCAGGTCAGCCAAATAGTGCCAAGTAATGTATATTAATCAAACATTTGTTTATTTTGCTCCCAATTGCAGTGCCACCATGGCGTCCTCACAACAACAACAACCAGCGTTCATCACATTCTACGAAACTTCTTCAATATATTCACCACATAGCACATCAAGTTTAGATTCCGATTTCCCCTTTGACTTCACATATGACAATGGAGAGTTTAGATTTGCCCCAAGAGTTGTACTGGGATCCGAAGCTGGAGCCAGCATCGCCGCCTTCGGCAGTGGCCAGCGAGCTCTTTTCGCTTGACGACCCAACAACTACTTTTCTCTATGACGATAACTTTGCAAATGGTCAGTGAATGAAATGCAAACGAATTTATTTATATTATATCTGTTCGATTATTGTAGGTATTACGCTCTTGAGCGTCGACGAGGCGGACATTTTGCAGAAGGCTGCAACTATGGGATTGCTGAGCGACGAGGATTTCGTTGTCGAATTTTCGGATCTCAAGGATGAAGGCAAGTTAACAAAGTTTAGCTTAGAGCCTAATTAGGACATTGGTTAATCAAGTTAATAGAATTAGTCGAGAGGTTAACTAAGATATGAAAATAATGTTATCTAAATATTTTATTTGGGTTAGCTACAGTCTAGACTGGCTTTATCTTGAGGACTAATTTTAGTCTGTCCCAATTATTTTAAAGATAAACTAAATATTCATATACAAAAGAAGATTAACTTTATTTAACTTATAGTTGAGTTTTCAATACTTGTGTTTTAGCTGGCTGGCAAAATGTTAATATTAGTGCTTATTTTATTATTAGTTAACAATCCCTCGAATTGACCAGTTTTTTATGGCCAACTCGTAAGATGGCATAAAAATCTTGTAAATTTGTAAGAAAAAAAAGCCCGAGAATGAGTTACACTTAATGTTTTTACAATGGTTTTTGTCAAAAGAAATCTTACAAACATAAGAATCTGATGCGTTTTTGCTAGGCAATAATTAAACTAAATAATACGCGATCATGAAAAGATGACGCTAATTATTTGAAAGGTTCTCCATAAATTGGAGCTAAGCATCGGCCGCGATAAAAAACATGTTTAACGTTTTTTGCCAACGGTATTTCTAGGAAAATAAAACAACACTCATAAGTTATATATTGCTGATAATTTGTGAGCATTTCACCATTCGAACAAAGCCTATATAAAATATATATTTTATTAATCATTATTTTCTTGCCAATTAATCATATTTTGTTGCAGACCCAAAAAAAATTGGATTATTTTTCTGCCATTTAATATGTTTCAATATTATATATGAGGCGAGATTACAAATTGTATTGCATTTTTTAGAAAACTTTCCAAAAATTAGAATTGTTTCAATAATTTAATAGAAGAAACATTTTGTTTCGATTCGTTAGTCTCCAAATATTATATTTATGTATTTTATTTCGTATACCAAAACCCAAAACAAACATTTTATAACGCAGTCGAACTTTGAACGTCTGAAAAATGTAGACAAAAAATGTTCGAGCTGAGCTTGTTTTGTTGTGCTTTGAATACGAAGTACCCTTAAACGATCTGTTTATAACCTGTTTCTGGGTCTCAAAACTGAATCACGCTGATATTTCTTTTAACTGTTCGACATTTGTTTGTTTTTTTAGGAAGTCGGACACTATTTTGACGAAACTGAAATTACCTTTTGCAATTTTTTTTTAATTAGGCTAGATTACCATAAACTTAATCGATGTTATCAATAATTATCGATAGTTTTTTGGTTCGTAGCTCTTTGAAGATTTCTTATTGACCAAATCATTTAAATTTTGGCTTAATATAAAAAGTAAACATATCTCGTTCTCAGCTTATGCTCTGTTTTATTTTATTTTTTTTAAGTCTTACAGCTTGGAGACTCTTTAGGCTTGAAATAACCCATAATGCTTGGGATTGTTGACTAATTTCTTACTTATTTGCATATATGTATATATTTTCAACCGGAATTTCATAAAATTTCCAAATGTTTTTTTCTGCATCTGCTTAAATCTCTTTTTTTTTAAATGAATGTTTAACAAATTATGAATAGTTGGCAGGTTTTATCAGGGTGCAGTGGCAAGAAACCGGTTCGAATGTTGTTTTTTT